AAAAAAAAGCAGAGGCGTGTGACGGGGTGGGAGTTTCTGTCAGGAATTCCCCGGGTCAGGCCAAAGTCAATCTCTCCGTCATGACGACGGGGGTCGCCCGGCGGGTTCAATTTACGTGGTAGCAGTAGCAGCCGCAACTTGCCCTGCTGCTGCTGCTATAGTAGTAGTAGTAGTTGTTGTTGTTGTAGGAGGTGATACGCAGATGCAGTTAGATAGAGCTCTCTCTCTCTCTAGAGGCTACCCTCACTCGAGCCGCGGCGTTGAGCGCGACATGGGTACCTTAACGTACGCATGCACGATATCGATCAGAATTGAGATTGACTTTGCGATGTGCCTTGGTGCTGCACACCCAGGCGCGAAAAGATATAGGGCGGAAACGCGCCATTGTTGAATTGAGTTTGCCAGAGCGTGAGCAGTAACTCTCGTTAATCTGGGGCAAGGAGGATTTTAGCTCTAAAAAGATCCGAGGAGCAGGCTGACATGGGGGGGATCTGCCTTGGACTGGACTGGACTGGACCCCTTCGGCGAAGCGCGACCGAATCTTTATTGGGGATCATCATTGATGCTTCTCTCAACGACGACACGCGCAACCTCGCGAGAGGACCACATACGACATGGCAGAAACAATATTTGGTAGATTTCATGTAGCCTTCCGCCTCGCTTGGTGTTGGGTAGTTGCCTTCTACGTCAGTCAACGTTGCCAATGATGTCGAAATCAACATGGCGCATGCGGGATACATTGCGCCGATGGCGGTGGACGATATGCCGTCGTGGACACGAGGACCTTCTTCGACAAGGGGTTGATGTCTGGGCTGCTTGTGAACGTCATTCGTCGTCGTGCTTGGGAGAGCGCTGAACAAAGAAAAAGTCCTGCTAGTTGAGTGATAGAAAAAAAAAAAAAAAGATTATGCATGCATGGCTTGGATTTGTTTTTCTGTTCATCTGTTCCTTTCTCCCCCGCCCCTCTTTCTCCCCTTCCTCTCTCTTTTTTCTCGAGTTTGACCAAGACAACACGGTAAAAGTATTGCTCTCCAAGACAATTGACAAGCTCTTTCGGTTCCGTCACCGAAGCCAGGAGTACCTATTGAGCTTAGCCTAGATTAGGGAGTAGAAGGAGGGGAAGGGGGTCTCGACGTCAGATGTCGAGTCGAGTGATCTATCTGCTGTGTTGGCAGACGCCTGTGTGACCTTGATTGCATGCAATCGTACATCAATGTAGTGTAGGTCACAACACAGAGAGGCACTGTAACTCGGAGGTAGGTAGTGTAGGTAGCTGCCTACTCGTCACTTGAAATGCCGCCTATGCATGTCGGCTTGGTGAATTGGTTTGGTGTCACAACCTACACACATTTTGACGCTGGTGCTCTCTCTCTCTCTCTCTCTCTTTCTGGCTGGGCCGCGCGAATAGTACCTATGTACGGCATGATTTTCGCTCTCTGTTATCGAGAGATGAAGGCCCTGGCATTGGCCTCCCTCGTATGAGAGAAATTTCCCAGTATCCCAGCAGTAGCCAAAGTGCTCGGCCCCCCACCATTCAGGCTGCCTAATGAAACTGCCGGGCCCGCTACACTAGAGGCGAATGCTCAGCTTTCCTCGGATGAACCGCATCGTAATGTTGTTTTATGCTGCGCGGCAGCAAGGGTGCCATGATGGCGGTGATGGTCCTGGGAGGGAGGGGGTTGATGGATGGATGATCAGCAACAGCAGTACACTACCTAGCACGTACACAGTAGTGCACGTAGTAAGCATGGCTGCCACCAGCGACACCCATGCGAGCCATGAAGCTTCAGGCAAAGATAGAAAGAAAGACATGGGGCCATTGAGACCCCTACGTACGGTACGGCGTTTCTTGGCTGGCGTCGGAGCCCTTGTTCCTGAACTATGCCTTTCTATCCAGACCCAGCAACACCAACAAAAGATTGGACATGGGTGGGTTGTTGGTATGGATGATGAATGTGATAGTAGCACGGTAGGCACGGTACGTAGTGGATAGTATGTTGTGCGGCAGTCGCCAGTCAAGCCAACATTGAAGGGCAATGGTGGGAAGCGCAGCCCAGCGAGTGCCGCGCTGGGTGGATACCAGCCCGGAACGTCTTTTGCCAAGCAAGGCTCAATGTCCTTCTGGGGGGGGCTCAAAGATCTCGTTTGCTCAGGCTCGTTCCCTACTTACTGCGTATTAGACCACCACTACTACAACTAATACATAGTACGTAGTGTACTACGTATACTTATTCTTCTGTGAATCCTAGCTATATTTCATGGAAAATGTAAACGACCAGGTAACCCAGGTTTGGATGCCTGGTGAACTCGCGGCAGCTTTAGGCCCGCAGAGAAGATTGTTCAGCAGATATGGAGCTTGGGGCATGGGAGGGCCTCCGCATCTCCATTGTAGCGTACCTACTAAGTAGTAGGTAGTATAGACTGTACACAGTAGAGGCAAATCATTCTTCTTCTTCTTCTTCTTCTTCCTCTTCCTTCTTCCTTGTCTCGACTCCAAAACGTCACGTCACCACCTCGTTCTGGGCAAGTATTTCCTCGTGTATGAACCAACAGTATGCATTGTACGTAAGGCCGCCCCTAGTGCTAGTTGTGTATGTACATAGTATACAGTAGGCTAGAGAGGTTCTTGCCATCCCCGCTCAAAATGGGAAACTATAGCATGACAATCTCGCATATCGCTGCGATTACCTAATGTTTTCTAACATCTCATGTGCTTTATTACTCGTTCTCTCCCTACCATCCCTCCCACGTTACTGTGTGTGCAGCAACACACATACTACTGCTACGGAATACTACTTGATCCCTCGGTCCCTGCCGTTAGTGCCTGTCTCTACACACTCCACTAGAACCTAGCTGGCTTAGGTGGAATCAAGTTCTACTCATCAAAGGATTCACTTCTTCTAGTCATGCCGCAGTAGCTCCTTCCGGAGACCGGCTTGGTGGTCGACATCGTTCCGAACCATGATGATTGTACATGCTGCTAATAGCATGGCCGAGGCGAAGCGATGCGCCATGCTACGATACTAGCGCGACGGGGACCTTTGACAAGTTTGATCTTTCTTGCACATGCATTACGTTTTGAGACACTGGTGGA